CTTGCAGGTAGTATGTTTTCTAAATTCCTTCCAGATTAAACACAATCTTATTTTGCAATTAGAGCTTTAAAAGTCATGATAGTATCAGCACGCATTGCTGCACAATGTAATAACCAGACTATCTTAATGAGAGACTAAAGAGTCCTTATACTTCTGATGCCATCTCTAAAACACAAATGAGATAATAATTCAGGCTGAGAGCAATTATTTATTATAAACACCTGAAAAACATGGGGCTTGGGACTCGAGGCAAGTCATACACTGCCATTACAACATGAAATTGCACCATGATATAACACTGTGTCTTTCTCAGAAGATCAGAGGTGTATTGGCTGGACTGTGGGCACTATTTCCAGTGAAGTGAATGGAGAGCATTTAATCCAGCTGTTATCAGTCTGCTCAGAATTGACAACCTAATTTGGAAACTAGATTACACTGCACACACAGATTAACGCACTGCTTTACAGCTGCATGGATTTATGATTCCCATGGCAACCAGGAGAAAATGTATCCCGGTAATTCTCCCCGAATAAAGCAGATCTGTCTCCATGCAGCACTAACAAGATTTATCACTAGCACAGTCATATTTTCAATGAATTCATTGCGGACAGCTAGACTGGTATAATCTCTAACTCTCTCTGCATCCTAAAATACCAATTCACAAGCAGAAGAGACACTAATATGATGCACTAATGCTACAAGCAATGAAAAACCTTGGTTACTATCTGAAATGTGTAATTTCTTAGAAAATATTAGTGGTTTCCAAGTAATTTTCCAGGGCAATGAGTAAATTTGTATTTATTTTACTAAGATAATGTGGGTGTTCCAGTTGTTGGTTTCTCTGGATCTGGATTGAAGGCACTTGAGACAGTAGTTCATGTTCAGACTCAGGTGTTTATTATTTCTTATTAGCAGAACAGTCTCACTACTGTGAGTTTGGCAGCTTTTCATTAGAAGGCACAAAATGGCTAACGGTCTCTTGTTACAAGGTCTTTTAAGACTAAACTATCCAATTAAGAACTGACACCTAGATTATTTTCCCTTTTAACCCAGTAACTGATCCCAAAGAGCCCTCAATGTGGACTTTTCTGCCCAATTACAAAATGCCACCCAAAGCCAAGAAGAAGATGGAAGAAGAAGCATGAAGAAGAAACCCAGGATGACACCCCATGCACTCCATCTTGCTTCCATGCACAACATACTAAAAATCGCAAAACCTAAATTTCTCACCAAGTGATACACCTACACTACTCCCTATAATCTAGATTTTAGTCTATCTTGAAGTCTAGGAAACTTTCTGCATGAATCAGGGTCAAAGTCAGTGCTTCCCTGAGGGTCAGGGCACCCCAGAGCAGTCAGAGAAATATTCCCAGTGCCCTGGGCTTCCACAACATAAGAAAGGAAGTATTACCCTACTCTTCCCACACTAGGCATAGTCCTCTCATATTTCAAGAAAATGATACTGATTTCTATATTTTGGAGTTTGGTAACTTGTTTTCCTTGCAATGAGAAGAGTCTTCGGTTTCATGCTTCAAGAGAGAAAGTCAGAAAGCTTTCAGTTTTCTGAAATACATACAGGACAGTATTTTCAGTTCCATCACTGCCTGCTTGCAGGACTATTTAGTCTGTGTAACCATAAAAAACTCTGAAAAAAAAGTTAAAAAGAGGGGGAAAAAAGCCAGGTACTTCACTGAGCTAAATAATAGTTGCCAAGTGTCCTGAGAGCTGTCTATGCATGAAGGACTATTTTCTTCCAAACACACAGAAGAGCCACGGTGGAGATTTTCTCAGTGTTAGCCAAGAATTTCAAAGGTTGAAATTTATTTCCCAACTCACAGAAAATATCAAGAAAATAAGCAAACACACCCAGTTGCTAGGGCTTTGGAACAACAGTGGAGCTAAAACTGGCCATGAAGAAATTGTGTGATGTTCCAGCTGTAAGGAGCTAATCCCATCACTTGTCAGTGTGCTTCAAAATCATGCACTGTCCTTGGTTGTGTTCTTCCACCCCAGCGTAAGCCAGCCCAAAAAAGGGCAACAACCCCAAATCCTCCCACAAAGAGCAGCTTCTGAACACGTGTCTTACAAGTGTCTCTGTCACATGTACCTCTCCCAGATAAAGGACTACAGCTGACTCAATTCTGCATTTCCATAGGTCAGTACCTCATGGAGTGGGAAGTGGCCCCACTCCGGAGCATTTTCTCAGTGGCAAAGTCCAGAAAATCCTGCCATGAAGTTCAGCCTACAGAAACCAAAGAAAAATCCTTTTTAGCAAAGGGCCAACAGATCAGCTTATTGTAATGTGGCTGCAGTATGAAAAAACCAATTATCTGCCAGTGCAATTTAATTGCCTTCAAAACAGAATCAGTACATTTTAATGTGCTATAATGAATTATTTGTATTTGCAATAGCACAGATCCCATGTTAGTTCACGAAATCACTGTTTTTCCATCTGGTACATCTAAGGACTCCACAAATGGGCATTTTTGTGAACACTCACTCCAGAGCTGCAGTTTTAAAACAACATTCTGAAAAGATGCCAAACAAGCAACTGTAAGAGTAGGAGAACTGGCATGTTCAGGTATTTTATTTCCTGACTCCCAAACAGACTGCCTATCTAGTCTAAAGTCCTCACCTCCATTTGTTGGTTAAGGCACTATTTAGAAAACAACCACCAATGAATGAAAGACAGTGGACGATAAAATTAACATATTCAGGAAAAATAAATAATCTCAACCAAATTATTTGGTCATTTCCATTCATGAGATTGCTCAAGCCCTGGAACTGCTGCAGATCTGACAAAATACTTTAAAAGAAATTACTTAGTGCAAGAAAAAAAAAAAAGTAATTTGGGCCCCTTTTTGATAGATTTCTTAAATGCAAATGGGGGTTTTTTAGGTACACATGAGCAAATACTCTTTCTGATAACAAGCACCAGTTTTTCGTTTTTCTGAATTGGGATCACCTGAACAGGTTGGAACACCTGTGCATCCATGATGTCAACAAATCTACTTGTAGATGAACTGAGATGCCAGACTGCATCCTCAAAGGAGCAGGTCCTGAAATGACAGGTTTGGTCTGACGGGGATTGTCCCTCCTGCTGTGAAGTTGTAGGAACACCGACTGCACTGTCCAAATTAACAACCCAACCCAGAAAACACTGCAGCATGTCCCTGCTCCTCCCACGGAATTTGTCGTGTATTCTGTAGGTCAAACATGGGATGAAATGTCTTTGAATCAAAACGTTTTCTCCTCAGGCTCCAGTTAGCCCCAAGTGTGAGAGTATCTTGGATAAAAACACGCATATGCCTTAAACAATCTGCATTTAATAAACACTGGAACCCGGGGGGCTCACACCGAGGTGCTGCCGAGGGGTTTGAAGAGGCTCGGCATTAGGAAAATGAAGGACGCTGCACCAGTAATCTCTGGGAAAAAGCGCAGGTTCGCTAGAGTTGGAGAGGCCTCTGAAGATAATCCAGCCCAAGCCCCTGCCAAGGCACGATCACCTGGAGCAGGTGACAAAGCAAGGCGTCCAGGTGGGTGTGGAGTGTCTCCATGACTCCACTTCGCCACTGTACTTCGTCTCTAGGCAAACCAACACACAGGGTAAAACAGCAGCGACGCGCTATTACTGAGACTACCGAAACACCTGCGGCGGCACTGCGGCGGAAGCTGGCGGGGAGGCTCGACCGTCGGCCCGCCGCTCCCAGCCCTTGGCCGAGCTTCCTGCGGGAAGAGCCGGCTGCCTCCCGCCGCCTGGGGAGGGCCGGCCCGGCCCTTCCCGGGCTCCTGCCGCGGCCATGGGCCCCGCCCGGCGCCGCCATTTGCTGCTCTGGGCGGCCGCGCCATTTCCCCGCCTCCCGGCCGGGAGCCCCCTATGCCGCGCAACCTTCCCTGCTCCCACAGGTCCGCTGGTGTGGGAACGGGCACGAAGGACGGCGCTGGCAAAATCTGGGCTTCAGTCGTTTGGGAAGGAAGTTCCAGGGGACGGGGGAACGTTACTTGTAGAGGACAGCTTTCCTCCGTGTCCCTCGGGGTGAGGAGGGGACACCGTGCTCCCTCCCGGCCTCACTGGCACTCGGGACAGCTGGGCACCACCGCCGAGCACCGCTCCTGTCCTGCAAATAAATCCCCGTGAACCGCTGTTGGAAAGGGCACAGCAAACAGAACCAAGAAACAGCACAACTGTGCTTACCAACCATGGCCTTGCTGGCAATAGCATGGAATTGTTCAATTTACACTCGACTGAAAAACTACACAAAAGTTAGTTTTGTTGGTCAGATGCACAGTCAGATTGTTCCTTTAATTCCACTGAGACAGATTTTGTCTATATGCATTCATACCTAAAAGGTTTGGAGCTTGGCAGCTAACCAAACAGGCCAGTCCCCTCCATGTTATCAGAAGCCAGGTATAATAGCTAAAATTTACTCTCACGATCAGTGTTGGGCCACATCATTTCCCCTGCACAGAATCTCGTCACAGGTTACTTGCATCCGAGGAAACACAAAACGTAATTAAAAAAAAATGCAAGTTACATTAATCAGATTGTTTGAAATTTTAATTGCGATCGATCCATGTTTCTTTTGCAACAGTTTCTCAAAGGCTATGATGAAACACAATAATGAAACTAAATAAAAGCACAAATCCCAGGAAACAGTTTGGCATTTGAAGATGGAATAGAAAAGCCTGATTTTAACTAAGATCTATAGTATTACTAAGAGCAGTACGGACTGTCCTTGCAAATTCTTCCCTTCATTTAAGGCTTTGAAAATAGTTTCTTTAGGAGTTTGGAGCACCTCTAACCTCCAGCAGTAATTAAGACATTCTTAACATCCTTGACCATAGACAGACAAGCATTTTCTAAATGAATCCAACTTTACAGTAAAAAGCTATTAATCCTATTATAAATGAGATTGATCTTTAACACTGGAACTTGGCACTTAATTGCCAGTCATTCAGTTGTTCCTCATATATTGATGAAACAAATAATGCAACATTTGATGGTTGGTATTGTTTTATTTTCTAATATTGATTAAACTATTTACACTTCTACTTTTCAATCCACAGTTTAGCACTCATACCTATGGCTTTTACTTTTATGTTTAGCATATCTTTTAGTCAAGTGTCAGAATTTCATTTAAAAAAAAACCCAAGAACCTGATACCATATAGACAAGTCTCTATGTTTATGTTTAAACAAATTCATTTTCAAAAGTGATTATTTATAAAAGAGCCTGCTCATAGCTTTCTTCCAAATCATGTTTATCACAGACTTTACCAAGCTCTTCCTATTTTTAAGTGTCCCATTTAGCGTGTCCTGCTGCCTCCAAGTGAAGTCTGTTCCCTCCCTCAGCCCCCCCCGCCTCTAAATTTAATGCAAAAAGAAAATCAGTAACCGGCAATTTCAAGCAAAAATATAAAGCACTATAACATTACCTACACTGCCTTTCACAGAACTAAGTTCTCAAAAACTCTAGAAACCTTGTGATAATTTAACCACTCAGTGTTGAAAAGGCACGGGACTTTTGTGCTCAGAGACCTCCAGCAACAGTGCTTTTAGCCCAGCCTGAAAGTTAAGATCCAAAAATTCACAGGTATGTAACTGCCACTTACAGCAGAACCCCTCAGATTTTACTGACTCTCCTGCTACAGACATCCTGCAAATTTGTACAAGACTTTGCTGCTACTGGCAAGAGGAAAAGAGGTGAAATTACTTTTACAGATGCCCAGGAATGGTGTAATGATACAATGATACAAGATACTCATTGCTAAAAATCTCACAAAACTGTCCGTGACTGTGGTAGTTTCTGTTTCATGGCACTACATGAATGGGGAAGTATTTTTCACATATGAGAGAAGTTTAATTGTACATGAAGAAAGCTAGTTTTGGTCCACTTGTCCAGTTCCCTATGGACAGCATATTGGAAAGGTGACCAGTGACGGTTCAAAAACCAATGTAAAAGTTAACAAAAATAATTTGGTATTTCATTCTTAAAACTGCAGTGTCATTATGTGTCCTACTCATCCACTTTTGCATTTTGTGTATCCATTAGTTGTTGTGTTTTTAAGTCTTCAGCTGGTTCATGATGTTCCTTGTCTGTATCATCTGCTTGATTATGATCCTTTTCTTCTGCTTCTCCTTGATCAACACTTCGATATTCTACTTGTTCAAGGTCTGTTCCATCTATAAGTTCTGCCTGTACTTCTTCCATCTGTATTTGATTTACATGCTCAACATGTAACTGCTCCACATGAACTTCAGCACCTTGTTCAGTCTGAATGTGTTCAACTTCCAAGTAACTAATCTGCACCTGTTCCTGTAGTTCCTCCATCTGTGTGCCTTTCGCTTGATTGTCCTGGATGAGATCCTGGTGCATCTGTTCCACAGTTACCTGTGCAGGATCCACTTGTACCTGAATTACTGGTAGGACATGCACTTGCTCAACTTGTTCTATTATTGTCATTGATGTTACTGGTTCAGCTTCCATACCTTCCACTGGAAGAACCTCTTCTGTCACTAATAGTTCTGAAATATTGTGCATTTCTTTGAGATGCCTTCTCAGCTCACTGCCTTGCATAAACCACAGATCACATAAGGTACAGTGGTTGGGTTTGTCACCAGTGTGTATTACCAAGTGGTCTTTGAACTGATCCCAGCTGTTAAACACGCTGTTACAAACCTGGAACAAAAGATACAGCATGTTAAGCAGTGCCAACAGAAATGTGACAAAACACAGTGCCTATCTGAGATCATGGCTTCACATTCTATAGTTTCTTGCTACTTGGATTCAAAAAACTTACATTTTAGAGGTAAAAGCTGAGAAGAAAGCTCCAAATAAACAGAAAACTTGACATTTATTTTTTAAGAATTGTGAGATATTTTGAGTTGTGCATGCATAAGATACCTACAAAATTCATAAGTCAGTAGAACATTTGAAAGTTTTCTCATCTGATATTCATGTAAGTATCATACACCCAAGCAATACATGTCTGGCACTAGAGTTTTGGGTGGAAAAATATTTATGCATTAATAGGGCCCACTGAAAGTCTAATACAAATTGTTGTTTTACTGACATTCTAGATGCAGTACTACTGAACAACTTTTCCTTATCAGCTTTCACTTGCTCATGACATTGTGAGGCTGAACTCTCCCATTTTGTGTTTTAAAAAGAGCCCACGTGAGTGATTTCAGCAGGTAAAACTTTTAAAACTCCATCCTTCTGATTCTCTTCCAGCCAAAAGTACTGCCTTAACATCAAACATATTGTTTTTACAGAGCACATGAGCTCCCTTCCCTTCAGCGGGCACTGAAGGTAAATAGCTGGAAAACAACACAGAGAGAATGCAGAAATAAATGAGATGCAGGGTAGAGGAGACAGAAGAGTGGGGTAGAGTCAGGCTTGGAGTAAAAAAACCCAGAGGCTCAGGAAATTGTCCATGGAAATACGTTTAGCTGTAGAAAGCAACAAGAACATACATATCAACACTCGTTCACTGCTGACAAACAGTTTAGAAACAGGACATTCCATCTCTTCATGATTTTCAGTAACTGCAGAGAAATGTGATGGAGGGAGTATCTGACAGGATTAACTCGAGCAAGTCTGTGTAGTCAAGACAAACATCTCCATTTTTCTGAAGTCTGCTAAAATGGGTTGTAATACTATTGCCACACATTTCCCCCTCCCAGGCTCACATTTCAGAAAGACATTGCACATACAGTTTTTAAAATACTAATGTTATAAATAAGCACTCAAAATTACTTGGTCATACATTAAGATAATGACTATCAGCAATGCCTAGGCACATAATTACTGTTCTTGCCACACAGAATCTAATTCAGTATTCAAGGCATATACCTGAAGAACACAAAAGGACTCATCAAGAAAGCACAACTTTTTCTCATCTTTGTTCAGTGAACAAAGTTGTTCAAATTTAGTTCTAAAGAGAAAAACTAAAAATTTATCCAAGAATTGCTGCAGTTTCTGCAAGCTGAAGGGACACAAAGCCACATTCACAACATCTGTGAGAGGACGAGGAAGTTTACAAAATGAGTTATGACTTGAATCAGCTCTTCAAAAGTGAAGTAAGATTTATCTCAACAGCTTTTCAAATGTCAGTTACATCTAGTGACCAAGTATCCTAGCAATCTCTACAGCATTTATTTTGCTAAAAAAATACACTGCCATAATAAATTTGAATTACTTTCCAAACAAAATCAGTGTGATTGGTATCACAACAGAGAATAATAGAACAATAAATGAAATAATTTGTATTTTGGACTTTGGGCTTCACTTTTAGTGAAGCATGCTCAGAAGTGAGAAAGACCGAGGTCACTGTTTCAAGAATCTTGTAAAGGAAGCAGCCTACCCAGAAGAATCTCTATGATTGTAAGTATTATGAGGCTCCACATCAGTAATCCCAAATTTTAAATGGAGATTCTTAGATGTGAGAATTTATCTGCATATTGTGGCTGAATGTGATCTAAAGACCTCACTATTGTCTACAACTTCCTGGTTAGAAGAGGAGGGGCAGACACTGATCTCTTCTCAGTGGTGACCAGTGACAAGACCTGAGGGAATGGCCTGAAGTTGTGCCATGGGAAGGTTAGGCTGGATATCAAAAAAGGTTCTTCCCCCAGAGGGTGGCTGGGCACTGGAACAGCTCCGAGGGCAGTGGTCACAGCACCAGCCTGACAGCTCAAGAAGCATTTGGACAATGCTCTCAGGCACAGGGTGAGACTCGGGGTGTCCTGTGCAAGGCTGGCAGTTGGACTCAATCCTTGTGGTCCCTTCCAACTCAGCATTTTCTGTGATTCTGTATTATTTTACTGAAGTAGCTCTCAGAGACATAAGCCACTCCCATTGCCTCTCCTGTTCAGTCCTCCCATGCTCCCCGAAGGAGGGAGGTACTGAACCTATTTCCATTACCCACCTGACATTCATACAGCTTCTTTCTTCCCTTTTTAGCGCCAGCTCCAGACTGACAGGCTGTCAGGTGACATTTCAGTGTGCTATTCCGAGCAAAACGTTCATGGCAGTTTGGACATTCAAAGGGTTTTTCACCTGTTGAGACAGATACAAGGACTTGTAAGTGTATAAAGCTACCCAGTCTTCTTTCAGGTCTCTCTTCTCTCTCTCTTTCTCTCCTGTCTAGGTTGATAAATACACTGTAAAGATGTGGCCAATGGGATTATTCTGCAGAAAAAGAAATGAAAATTGAATATAAAAGGGCAAAAAGCTGATGTAGAGTCGTAAGTCTCATTTAGAAGAAAACCAATGTAACAATTACCAGTAGCTTTTAAGGTAGTTGTGGAAATTATATTATTATTCTGGCAAAATATTTTAGAGAAATAGGAGCTATTTCACACACTTCATCTGATAATAGTTAAAGAATCAACATAAGTCAATATACAAAATGACATATTAAAGAAGGAAAAATTTAAATAGTACAACCTTTTATTTTCAGTAATAACAGCTTATGCTTGAAACTGAGCCCCAGAAAACGAAGCTGGCACAGAATTATTGTGAAATAACAGTGCATCAATACTAAAACAAAAAAACCCTGCATCCAACTTTCCTCCAAAATACATGGAAGAGAAAGCACAGAGGGACATAAATGGGCACAAGCAAGATAAAAATTCCTCTCAGTTTGGCCACTTCATTTCAACCATGGTATCAAACACAGAAGCCAGCTAAGGACAACAGCAGGGGAAGCTGAAAGTAGGTCTTTTTATCATCCAAGGTGCTGTGCCATCATCAAGTGGTAATAGACAAAGGGTGTTGCACCATGAACAAACACAATGACAATCAAGCAAATTAAATTACAAAAAAACCTTGAAGAGTGTGTTTCCTCTGAAAGACTGTAAAAATCTGTATAGGTACTGCTACCAACACCACTACTGAAACAAATGGATAATGAACTCCAAAAGAGGCTGAGCCATTTCAGTGCATACCATGAGGGTCACTCCTGGCTACTTTAAAAGCCTGCATTTTCAGGCATGCAATAGTTATTGGACATGCAGTGGAAAAACAATCTTCAGAAACATTTACAAGTTCCTAATTAGCATTTCAAAAGAAATTCACAAGTAGCTGAAGCATCATTTATACACCTGAAAGCTACAAAAAGATGTTAAGTGGTGGGAACATTCCCCTCAATGGTTACAAAACGCTACATATTTGGAGAGTGTCCTACAGGAAAGGCAGAGGATGCTAAACTGCCTTCAGTGTTGCAGGTCAAAAATCATGGGACTTTGCCCAAGCAACTAGTGGGTTTGGAACTAGATGATCTTCAAGGTTCCTACCAATTCTGTAAACCATTCTGTAATTCTATGATTCTACAGAGCACGCATGGATGACCAAAGAGGTTCTGGACAAACTCAAAACATAAAAGGGAGGTCCTCGTGAGATCTTGAGAGAGCTGGTGAAGGAAGTTGTTAAGCAGCTATCCATAAAATTTGAGGTGTGGCAGTCTGATGAAGTTCAAGATCACTGAAAAAGCAGAAGCACAACCCTTTCAAAACAGGGACATAAGGAAGAGCTGGGCAACTGCAGGCCAGTCAGTCTCGCCTCCATGCCCTAAAAATTATGGAGCAGATCCTCCTGGTAGCTATGCTGTGAAGACAGGCTGAAAGGGGTTGTTCAGCCTGAAGAAGAAAAGGCTTCAAGGAGGTCTAAGAGCACCTTCCAGTGCCTAAAGGCAGTCTACAGGAAGGCTGGAAGGGACTTATAAGAGAATGTAGTGATAATGACAAAGGTGGAATGGCCTTAAGCTGAAACTGAGTAGGTTTAGGTTAGATATTAGGAAGAAATTACTTTCTCAGAGGGTGGTGATGCAGTGGAACAAGTTTCCCAGAGAAGCTGTGGTTATGCCCTCTGTAAGAAATGTTCAGAGCCAGGCTGGATGTGGCTCGCAGCAACCTGGTCTAGTGGAAGGTACCCTGCCCATGGCCCCAGAGGGTGGAACTAAAGGATGTGTAAGGTCCCTTCCAACCCAAGACATTTTATCATCCTATTACTGCCCCACTGCTACTTTAATGTGATTGCTGGTGTAGTGATTGAACAACAACAGGGTAAAATATTTTAGGACATTTTCTCACAGACCTTTCAAGTTCATTTTAGCATTCAACCAGTGCTGCACAGAACTCAGAATTTAGAAAGCCTATAACGGAATGGGAGCTTTTTTATTCTCCTCAGGAGACCACAGTTAAATGCTGATGTCCGTTCTGATTTAACCTTAAGGTTTTTGAAAATGCTAAACTGCAAGTAATTAGATTCCGTATGTTATACTTATTACATCAGTATATATTTAGTAACTATCCTGTACCTCTTGTGATGTGCTAACTTGCTTTAAATTGAAAATACTTTCTTTGCAAGAGCAACCAACATATTACATAGTTTGGATTACTGTGGTTATCTGCCACAATTTTTTTTTATGAATAGATTTTTGCTAACTAGCACCTGTTTGAATTGCTTGTAATGGAGAAACACTCCCTGCTTTACAGGGGATAAGGGTTTCCCAAAGCTTGTTGATAAAAAGAACTTTTAAGAGACTATTGGGAACAGACCAGACACTGCCATATATCAATACTCAGCAGTCCCATACACAGATACATTCTAATTAAATTAAGACATTCTTAAAATGAAATTAAAAGGCTTTAACAATAACAAACTGCAAAAGAAATAGAGCTGCTACCCTCCATTAAACTTTTACTTAGGACTCATGACTGGCACATTAAACGAAAGCATCTGAAGGTCAAGACGACATATATTTTACATTCAGTTATCTGTGTCATTTTCAGTGTCTGTTCAGTCAGCTGACCTTTCAGTGAGATGTAGAAGTAATCTCCTATACTAAAAAGAAGGAGGGAGGACCACAAATCACTTTGTACTCAAAAGATTTTTGCTACCCAGACTTCAAAGAGGCAGATTTCACAGTAAAAAAAAAAAAGTGTACTATAATGAATAGGAATGTTTTGCCAGTTTTAGTAGATTTCCTTAATTAACCAAGAAAATTCAAATCATAGATGAATTGAAACCAGAGCATACATAAAACTTTTCAAACATGATGGTACAAGACATAATTCTTTGAGGGTATTTTATGTCTAATAGGCATTTGCTCAGATGTTCTGTTAGATAAAGAAACTCTCTAGACTGTATTCCACAAAGAAGATTGTGATTCAAATAGTATTTCAACAGAAATATTTACTAGAAAATTTTGAAAATAAAAGTGGTTCCTCAGTTTGGTATTTCTGAAGAAAGGAACATGACTTAAGGGAGTATTTTGAAAAAAAACTCTTAAGATTTAATACACTTGACAGAGAAGATCCCTGACTACTTTCTGGTTTTAGGTGCCTATTTTTAATTGACTCAATCCCCCAAAAGTTTCCAACATCAATGGAAAACAAAAAAAACATGAACAAACAAAAATACATACCACCATTTTAGTTATAACTAGAAGCCAAGTATTTCTAGCACTCGGGACTCATTTATTTTCTTCAGCATTTTATCTATTTCCCCAAAACATGCAAAAGCCCAAAATACTAGAATGAAGGCCACAAGCACAGGACTGTAGCAATGTTCTTACCTGTGTGCTTCCGAAGGTGCTCTTTAAAATGCCCAAAATGGTCAAACTGCTTGTCACAGTACTGGCATACATGTATTTTCTTGCCAGGTCTTTGCTTCTTGCTGGCACCACCTTCATCAAGGTGGTAACAGGTGAGGTGCTGTTTCAAAGCACTCTCTCGTAGGTATCTTTTATTGCATATGTCACATTTGTAATTCTCAGTAGAGTGTGTTTTCATGTGTTCCTTAAAATGGTAAAACAATTTAAATGAACGGTTACATTTCTCACAGTGGAATAAATTGTTCATGTGTGACAGCTGAAGTTCCACAATTTCAATACCTTCTACCTGTTTGCACGAGGGGTCAGTTGAACTATCACCTTCTTCTTGCATCTGGCATTTTCTCTCTCCCTGACGATACTTGCTGGTGATATCTGCCAAAAGAGCCAAAGCAGATTCATCTGATGTACCTGTTGTCTGTATGTACTTTATGGATTGCTCTGCAGAAGCTACTTCTTCAAGGGTTTCAATGCTGTCATCCTCCACTTTCATCGTCCCTTCAGCAATCTCAACCTCAATTTCGACAGGCTCTGATTCTGCAGATGGCAGTGTTTCTGTGATAACATTAGAGGTTTCAGCAATCTTCCTCTTTTTTGGTTTATTTTTACCTTGTGCTTCATTTGATTCTAAGGGCGATGAATTTTCTTTGTTCCTGAAAAGCATTTGCATAAACATGGTTAAGATCAATTAACAATCACATAATAATGCCTGTCTAGTAATCTAGGTTCTGCATGCAACACTCCCCTAGCTGTTTCTTGAAGTTGAATGATGACCACATTATCTGTGTGCACATCAGACATACAACCTATGTGAACATCAGGAGCTAATTTGTCCTTAATTTACCTCCTTAGTGCAGTAAAATAATATTGTTAAAGCCGATAAAATATTTTAAAGTATTTAAAGTAGACAGCTCTGCTTCAATGATACAAAGCATCTAGTAAGAAGAAACGGCAGTTAATCTAATGACTTATCGAAAAATTTGTGAAATTCTGTACTTGGAAAGAAAACTCCTCTAAAATAATTAATTCTTTGGCCTGCCTACTCAGAAGTAAGGTTTAAGTCCCTCCTATGCCATTCACCTCTTAGGCTCTGGACTGTGTACAACTGCAAGCAGTACTCAGAGCTTGTCAGAAAACATTTTAGCTGTGACTTCCCACGATGATTATACACACAAGGGTTAACATATCTCATAACTCAGCCACACTGCTAACAGCTGACATAAAAAAAACCACCAAGATGTGAAAGGAGTATTCTAGTTTAATTTTTTTGGCTTAAACACAACTCTCAGTTCTCTGCTATTCTCTCTGCATAACGCACACACAATCCCCTTCCTCCAAAATGTCAGGGATGGCACAGCATCTCAAACACAGACAAAGCTGAGTGGGTCAATGCTTTGAACTCATCCAGAGCACTGTTGTGCTGGAGGTTTTACTACTGATCATCAGTTTCAGAAATAAGTGGCTATCTTCCCATCAACTAGACTGACTGGAGTAAGCTGTGCTTTTAACCTTCCTCTGCACCATGATGAATCCTTTCATGTAATGCACTCCCTATCACTTCCAGGCTTTCCAGTAACAAGAGACAAGACTTTGCCCAGTATCTCCAAGTCATATTGTCAGATGTGTAACTAATGATGTCATGCAGGCCGCAGCTTATAAATGGCACCTTAGTCTGTTCACACACAGGAAAACAGAGTAGCTAAACTTAGTTTCATATAGCCTGGATTTCTAATGTCTACCAGATTACAGGCACATTGCAAGGAGCTCCTGGATCACGTTACCAAAAGCAACTAGCATAGCATGCAGAAGGAATGAGAACATGAGAGTACTTTATGGAAGTGAAATGGAAGAAAGAGGATGAAAAACAGCATGATGGGACTGGCACTCACTTTTTCAAACTAGACTTTGGCAGTGGATTACAGTTCCTGATACTGGATAACAGGTGCTGCAGCAACATTTGATTGAGTATTGAACCCAGATAAAACTGACTTTAACAGTTACATTCATTCAAGAAGTTTGAGAGGTTAATTTTGCAGCAAGAGATTTTAAGATCACAGTTTATTCCCTCAGAAATAGCAGAAAGCTACACGAAGTCAAAACACCATAAAACAAAACAAGCACCACGAAATCAAAACAAGCACAAACTCGTTAATGTTATCTGGTTACCAGAGACACATTGTCACTGCACGGCCAGCTGTCAATCAGGTGTGGGCCATCAGACAGCACAGAGACCAACTATGAGTTATCACAGAATCACAGCCCCACAACATCAGCAACATTAGAAGCCATGTCACTTGTCATTGAGCTCTAGCCCAATGAATGTGATGTTCTTGTTTTACCCTGTGTAATTCTGAAATGTATATTACAGTAGAAGAATATATGGTTCTACACAACTTAAAGAGGTCCCAGTATAAGAGACAGCACTGCAAGATACTGGCAGCCAGCTCTTGCAGAAGGCTTACTGAGACTCTCTCTTCCAGTGTTGGAAAGAAAAAGAGGCTTATGTGGTTACCTGACTTCAAGTGCTTTGATTGCTTCCAGCATCTGTAGATACTCTGCAGCTTTCCAAACATCATTTGCTTCTTCCTCACCTTGTACCATTAGCTTTGCTGTATAGGTGAACTCAATTAGGTGACGAAACGCCATGTTACTTACACCTGTGTACAGGCAAGAAAAACAAGTCAACTTTGACAGTTCTGCAGCCTCATCTTCCCAATGAATCTTGCACACTTGTCTGTACACCATTTTGATCACAGTACTGTAGCCACCAGTTTCATAAATGTCACACCCTTAAATGGCTCCACTGAATGGTTTGGGTTGGAAGAGCCCTTTATAATCACCTAGTTCCAACCTCACTCATGTTGGAATAAAAAAACCTACTAGAGAAACACAGTCTGGAACAACTGTGGAGTTTTGCCATGACAAAGATAACAGAAATTATAAGATGGACAGAAAGCTGTTTCAATAATATATAGATTTAAACACAAAAAACCTATTCCTGGAGGCTGAAATGCTGCTCCAGGCATTTAATTTCCTCCCTGCTTATCACGTAAGTATTACTCCCTGTTTGCCTTGCTCTTGCATCCCAGCCAAGGCATTTGCCATTGGCCATCACTGACAGCCTTTTTCAGCTGACCAGAATGGCTTTTCTCTGGGAAAGCTTTTGTGTAGTACTGCTAGTCCTAACAATACAGGGTCTGCCTGACCTTCACTAGACATGTATTAGGGGAAAGAATGGGGAAAAATAATGAGAAAGCACCACATAATCTCACATTTTCCCTTCCAATATATTTAATACTGTTATCATTTTAATTTTTCTTCAGGGAGGTTTTCTTTCCAGTGACGGTAGCTGTCTCAGAAAACTCAATAACTAAAATCTAGAAAGTTAACTGCAATAACCAAGCATGTTGAAGTGTCCAAAGCAAGACCAGATATGGCCTTGACCAACCTGGTCTAGTGCGAGGCATCCCTTCCCATGGAAGAGGAGGTTGGCCTAGATGATCTCAACATTCTATTCTCCAACCCTAAACATTCTATGATTCTATGCACTAGCCTCTACTCAGGACACTACAATAATTTCCAGCTTGAGCACACAACTATGAATGCTTTTATTCGCACAAGTCAGATTACCTTCAATCTCCACCAAAGGCTCCTGAGTGAAATCTTGGAAGAATTTGTGGAAGAACTGGCTACAAGCAGCAAGAACTGCCTTATGAGCTTTAAAATGGTGACCTGCAAAGGGAGACAAAAAGTTTGGTTTAAGGTTAACACCTTCCTCCCTACATAGTGCAGATGCAGAAAAAAAGACCGCCCAGAGTAAACATCTATTCCAGCAGCATCTACTGAGTGATTCTCCGTAACACAGGACAGTACTGCAGCTGGCTTGTCCCTTCTCACACAGAATCTTGCTGACATTGCTGAGCTTGCTAAAGCTCTGTAACTCAACCAACTGGAGAACTCTCACTCACTCACTCACTCACTCTTTTCAGATATTTAAGAAATGAATTATTTGCAATTTCTATGCAAACTTTTCTTGGTATGTTTTGGGCTCAGCTCTGTATGTCTCATGTTTTTGTTGCTCCTACAGACTGATATATATGTTACCACCACCGCCAGCATTAACACTACAGAACAAAAGGGGTTCTGCTCTATTCTTTCTATCTTCCAGAGTCTGTATTTATTCTATCCAGTGGAGGCATGCATATTCATACGGTTCAGTGGTACAGGGATAAAGGAAGCAACACAGATTAGAACTACACAGCTGCACACAAAACCAACTCTGAGTTCAACACATGGATTTGGTAATGACAGAGCAGGAGCAAACATTCAGGGCAAGTGCTATCAGTGTGGCTGTCCCTGAAGAATATTTTTTTTCTTAATTTGCTTACCTCCTTCTAATCTGGACTCTGTAGGATCCTTTTTCTTCAAGTGAGTTGCTGCTATCCTTTTAAAGATCGGGTGCGACTCCTTTAGCTAAATCTGTCTTAGTGGACACTACCTATATTCCCTGTAGTGTTCATCCATTCTAAAATATGTTTAGAATATGAAGCAGACTTAAATGATCTACCACATACCACCTTTTCTAAGGAAATAAGCACTTGTATCTTCATCATCCTTTTAAAACAGTTCTTATGCCCATATGTTCTTATGCACATACAAAAAGTATGTGCTTCTACCCTTTTTGAAGTATAAATTAAAATAGTAGACAGATACCAGAGAAGCTGCTGTGAGAAGTAAGTATTATTTCAAGGTGTGGGGTATTTTTTATTTAAACACAGTATTTGTAAAAGTTCTCTGCATGCAGTCCAACTGTTTAAGTCAAGAGAAAAATATTTTGACAATGTTTTGGGAATCCTTCGCACATTAAATGTACCACAGCAGTTTCGAAGAGGGCTTCTACCTGAAAACTTTTTAGTTTCTTGTTGGGAAAGCAGAAGCAAAATTACTAACCACTACAATGAAACTTGGCAAGTAACTTGCACACAGGTACAGAAACAAGAATTGGTTCACAGCCCTGTCTGACACCTGACCATGAAAAATCCAACAGCATCCCAGCACAGCTTTCAGAATTCTCTGACTACCAGCTAGTTCTCAGGCCTATACATACCATCGACGATCAGAGTGATATCTGTAAACTGGTCCTGCTCACGTTGTTCATTCAGTCTATCCAAAATAACTTTATAGTGTTCAGGGAATTCCTGGATACATTCCATTGTTTCCTCAGCTTCCATGGCAGAAGGCCAGGTCTGCAAAGCAAATGTGGTATGAAAGTAAGAATACTGTGCCAGTTAGTAAACACTATGCAGAGTCAGGTTATTATACAAATGTGAACTAACTTGCCAGGACTATAAAACCAATGGAAAAACTGTCTTGCTTGCAGGATTTTTACCCAATGTTGGCTGACAGGTAGGAAGTAGCACACTACTGCTGTGGAATAGCACAGTAATGATGTGGAATTTTGTCTTATTTGGACACATGAAGTAACAGCCAAAGTGGATATTTCTTTATCCTACAGATTCAGCAGGGACTCACCACCCTGAAAGCAAATACTACAGGGATGCAACATCTCCATAGCTACTCATTCAACACCACTGCAGCATAATCTCAGAATCTTCATACAGTTCTTGCAATCCCACCAATCCCCTTCGTTAACAGACAGTTCTTAAAACCTTTACATTTATGTCACACTTTGTAGCTCATGAACACAAGTTGTTTACTTCCTTTAAATATGGAAGTAATACAGCAGCAATTTTCAATTTCTGAGTGCATTACAATTGCCAGGGATTTCATCTACTCTCAAGCTTACTCATCCATCTATTTACACTTCTTCCTCTATAAAGTGAAATATTCTTTGCCAGCCTTTTGATGTAAAATGCTTGCAGTGAGATAGCCCTTCCTCCCTCACTAACACAATGAACACAGCTGGGGGTGGGAGTTGCAGAGGTTTAGCAGAACTGGGTGCCTGTGGATGAGATGCAGACAGTAGTCTGCTGCATATGCAGAAGAACCTCAGCAGAGCATCCAAATGCTTCAACGAAAGCACTTCACAAATTACCTCCAGGCAAAATTACTTCAGATCCATGAAGCAACACCCATTTTTAACTCCCACACTAAAGTGGCTTACACTTAGAATGCTGCAGAAAAAAAGAATTATGGAGTTCCTGTTTACACCACAAAACACATTCCTTCTTGTCTCTCAGAAAAAAAGTCACTCATGAAGAAGTTGTTTTGCCAAGAGAATGAAATAAGTAGAGCAAAGCAACTACTCAGGGAAATCTAGCCCTACCTGCTACTGCTACATTGCCAGCCACAGAAATGCTGCCCACAAAAGTCGGATTCGTTACCTAGTGTGCAAGGAGCCAGTAACTACACACGCGAGGTGGCACAGATTATTTATTTCAAAGTTGCGGAAGCCTGGGTGCCCGGTGGAATTCCACAAATCAAGTACCCAACTATAAGAACTTTTTGCTAATGATACATTTTAGCGAGCAAAAGGATTAGTGTTCATTGGTTACAAGTAACATAATTCTCTAATTAATTAGTATTCTCTCTTCTACTGGTTAATGATTTTCTTGCTTCCAGTGCTAATTAGTCCACATGCTCAGCCTCTCTCTTTTTTTGGATCAGCAGGTTTCTTGGGCTGGTTGTTGCAATCTTCCCCAGCCAGAATTACCTGTTACCCGGTTGGAGCCAATTCCAAGACAATTGCAAAGTTTGCTTTATTAGTTTTTTCCTTATTTTGGGGTTTCTGCTACATGTCCCTATGGGCTCTAAATTCTAGATCCTCTGTGTCCACTATCAGTGGCACACCCATTTTCTCAGGCTTTGTTAGCCTGCCCTTAGGTCAGAGATCACTGAAGTATGTCTTCATAAGCTTAAGAAGGCAATTCTATCCACAAGTAATTTGTTTTTCTAACACCTGGACATAACTTAGAGCTTGTCAGCTGGTCTCTGTGTCATGGATTAAATCTCCTTTCTTGTTGAAGAGGCTTGACAGTTCACAAAGATCAAACATCAAAGCAAATCCTTCCTTAAGAAAATTCTACATACTCTGTATTTCACACCAGAAACAACTGTCAGGGTCTTCAAGTGAACAGAGGAGCCTAGCATGCAGGGGAAGATGAGGTGGAAGGGAGCGGATGCTGCTGCTGCATTCTCTTCACCTCATCTGTAATGGGTCTAAAACAGACAACCAGAAATTCCTCCTTTTCTTTTACCATCTGGTGTTTCACATAAAGTCTCATGTAGGAAGGTGTCAGCTACCTACTTCACAGTTTAATTCTTCTTGCCCATTTTTGACACATTATAAAAGGGCAGATGACTTGCAATTAAAAGCCTAATTCCTAAAAACAAAAATTTGATCTCCAAGTCTCATGATTTTCATCTCCCATGGTTTTTGCTTTACTTCCAAACTGACTGTAGGGGAATCTCAAAAGAAATACCCCAGACCTCAAAATAATAGAGCAACCTTAGCCTAGCAAACACAAGATACTTTAAAAAGTTTCTTTCTTACAACTGTTACAAAACATAGCAAGAAACATACAGTTTATGTTAGGCAGTTCATTAATTTACACAGAACTAGTAAAAATGTGAGTTTACTATGTATCTAAATGCTGTTGCAGCGTTCATTGAGCATTCCACTTTAAAAACCTCGGTCATACTGCACAAAAAGGCCTGACAAAACAGCACATGTTCAGTAAGAGCGTGACTGCTTTGGAGGAAGGAGTGAAAAGTACAGTTGGGAAAACAAAGCGCCGAGGAATACGGACAGAAACGATCCAAATTCACACTTATGAGAGGGCTCACGGATGAGAGACAGAGAGTGGACCGCTTCAACTGTCTGTGCAATTTCCTTGAAAAACTCATCGAAATCCTGCCTTAGCCTCATGAGCCTGTAACCCTGCACGCATTTCATGTGATGTGCATATGATTCGCCGAGTTGCTTTTGTAAATCCGCCTCAATGAAACGTGTTATTATTACTACTCTCCTGGGCGACACCAGGAGCTCCTCGGATTCCAGGCACCAGACGTTAGCTTCCCGCACATGGACGCCGCGGCGCAGGCGGGGCGGCGCTGGGGCAGGCGGGGTGACCCGCAGGACCGATGCGGCATGCCCACAGCACCGCCATCTTGGGAAAGGGGGAGCCGCGGCCTAGGCAGTGCAGAAGCAGGAATTCCTCATGCACACTGCCGCACGTTCTCCTCAAAACCAACGCTCAGGCACGATCCCGATCCCGATCCCGCCCGTCGGCCCCGCAGAGCGGACGCGGGATCGGTGCCGCTCCCGGCGGGATCGCGGGCACAACGGCCGCCAGGCGGCGCCCCCACCCCCGGCCGCCTCACCCGGGGCTCCCGCCACCCGCGCGCGCCTCCCGCGGGCTGCGGCCCGCGCACCCCGCGGCCACCCGCGGCCTCATTGGCGGCCGGCAGTGTCATTCAGCGCGACCCCCGCCAATCGCGAGGCGCGGGCAGCGTTCGCCCCGGCCGGAGAAGCCAATGAGCGGCCGCCGAGTGCCCGGCGCGGGCGAAGGCGGAAGGCCTGGCCCGCGCCCAGGGCTCGCCGCGCACGGGGGATCCGGGCGCGATGCGGGCGGCGCCGGCAGGCACGGGGGTCCCGCGGGGCCCCCCGAGAGGGGACCTGGTCGCTGCCGGCTGGAGCCTGGCGCGCGGCAGCGCCGCCGCCTCGTTAGTCGTTATTACGTCATCAAAGCGCGCATTAAATCGATCCCTTTTCAATTCCCGGCCGGGTCGCGGCCCGACGACGCGGCGCTCCGAGGGGTGGGGAGGCGGTTCCGCCGGGGACTCACCGGGAGCAGCTCCTCTCCGCGCCGCTTCCCGCTCCACCGCCGCCGCTTCCTGCTGCCCGGCACGCTGGAAAGCGGGGCGCGCGCCGGCCAATCCCGACTCGCATTCCCGGCCTGCCCCGCGCTCACCTTCCACGCGACAGGGCGCGCGCGCGCCGGGGGCGGGGCCCGGTGGCTCGGGGCATGCCGGGAACTGTAGTCCATTTGTGCAGTGCGACGGGTTCAGAGTGATAATATGGGTCAGGCTGCAGAGGACCACAGCGGGTCGTCTGTTCTAGCCTCCCTACTCAAGCAGGATCATCCACAGCACCTGGCACAGGATTGTCTCCAGACAGTTCTTCAGTATCTGTGAAATTAGACTCCACAGAATCTCTGGGCAATCTGTTTCGGTACTTGGTCACCTGTGCCGTAGAGTTCTTCCCCGTGTTCCGGTGGAATTTCCTGTGCACCTCTCACTGCCCATTGCCTCTTGTCCTATTGCTCAGCAGCACCGAGCAGAGCCCGGTCCCTGCTCCGACCCCTCCCTGCAGACCCTGACAGACACTGATGAAGTTCCTCCTCAGTTGTCTCTTCTCGAGGCTAAACAGGCCCAGCTTCCTCAGTCTGTCCTCATAATAGAGATACTCCAGTCCCTTGATCATCTCTGTTGTTCAACTCTGTTCTTCTTGATGAGGAATGCCTGTGTCTCCCCTTCCAGATGCACTTTGCAGCTACATTGCAGTGCATTCCTTAGTCTGGCATGCCAGAACATTTTGGAAGACAGGTGTTAGGGCCACACACACCCTCACAGGCAGGACTCGTATCCACAGGATTCCCTTCATCCCATGTCCCCTCGACTCTGTTACACAGCCACTCTTCCATGCAGTTCCATAACACCGTGTTATTTTATAAATCAGACTGAGCTGTGCCCAAAATGGGTGTCATGAAGAGGTGTCAAAAGCTGAAAAGTCAAAAGTGCAATACTGCCCAGCAGGTCTCTGTGATGCCCAGCTGTGCCCTCCAGCTCCGGGTCCCCACAGCTGAGGAAGGAACGGCCCAGGCAGCCCCTTGCAGCTACCTGGGCGCTGACAATGTGAAACTTGGGTTTCTTTTCTATGGAGCCTTCAGGGGAGCCCCAGTCATACACGTTTCATGTCCTGCCCCAGATGAAAATGTACTCATCCAAATAAAGCAGGATAATAATTTAACTTGTCAGAACAGACAGCACGATCATCCCTTTGACAGCCTCTACGCTGAAGCTGACAAGAGCAGCCTCATGCAATGGCTCTAATTAGTTTGCCCGTGTTAATTCCTGAAAATTGACTTGTTTATGAACTCATCCCTTTCCCATGATGCTTATTGCTTAATGGCCTTGTTAACATAACAGTACTATTGATCTTGTCAGTAGGTCTGCTCAGACAGTTACTTGCAACCTAGGAGTTGCCTGCCACACCCATTCTTGTTTTCTGGTACACAAAAGTACATGAAGCAATGTTGATGCCTCCTGCATTGAAAAATGTATGAAGCATTGTTTTAAACTAGCAGAGATTTAATTTTTAGTGGAAGAACTATCTCTCCAATAGTTCATAATCCAAATAGAAATATTGCTAAAGCTATCACTGCAGCAGAGTACAAAACAAGAATTAAAATTTTCTATTCCAGCACCTTCTACCTGTCCATTGTTGGCAGCTTGCTTGTTTTTGATTAATGTATGGTTTGTTCTGACCATTTACTTTTTTTCTCATGGTATTTTCTGCTGTATTTCTTTTTTTCCTATGGCTTCCCCCATCTAGTTTTACTGTGAGGTTAGGCTGAAGGTTTTAAATTAACAGTTCATACTTGGTCCTAATCACTTTTCAAGTATAAAATTACACTGACTAAGCCATAGCTCTTATGTTCTCCTTTTCCTCTTTCAGAGATGGGTGTGTCGTTTCCCAGCACTACCTCCAAGATTTCCAAGACCTATGTTACAAAACAATGCAATTTAGTTTTAGTAAGTCTGGAAACTACCTGGTTTACAGTGCATTTTATTTACATAAGGAAGAATATGTTAAGCAAACATCTAAAGGATCTTTATCAATATCTCTAGTTCAACCTGTATTAGTCATTTATGTGCCTAAAAATTACCTTTGTTTTTTCCTTTTCCAGAATCACCTCAATGACACTAGAGAATCCTGTATTAATTAAAATAACATGGTAGATCTTATGGACATAACCTTCAGCTGAGTTTGGGAAAATTACTGAAGTGTAGATGTTCTCTTCTAGCTGCAGCCTCTGACAGCAGCATTGAACAGGGCTGAGAGCATCTGTCCAGGCTGAGCATTGTGAGCCTCTCCCAGGGGAAGCTGTGATGTACCAAACAGCCCAAACTGAGTACTAAACTAATAGTAGAAAATTGTGAATCACACATTTCCTTCTTTAACAAAGGAAACACTTCTGTGTTGGAGGAAATGCAGGAATTAATAAACTGGAGATGTGAAATCAAGTATTCAGGAGGCTTGCATATGTGCAGCATTGAGTAGATAACTGTTGTCCAAAGGCAGGTGATTTAGATAATAAATGAAGGCCAAAAGGGACCATTAGCTCATCTAGTGCAAGGCCATCCACCTGGCAGCCTCTGACCTACATCCAGCTTGCTGATGTAGTCAGTTCAGCAGTCAGTCAGTTCTGACTGGCTCCCAAAATGGTTTTGAAAGCTCCTTAGTGCACTCGTGGCACACCCAGATCTCCCACATCAAAACCAAGTTATTCACCAGGCAGAGTACAGGTAGCTGCAATGTGGCCTGTACTGGTCTCTTCTATTAGAAAAATTCTTATGAAATCAACTGCTCATTCCTGTAATGTTATCAATCACTTGCAAGAAATCTCGGTATCAGACGAGTCAGTACGTCTCCCTTGCACAGTGACTTGTTCTGTGCATGAGAAGGCTTTGCTGCCATGCCTAGAGCAAGCCAGATGTGTGCTGTTATGCAAGAGGAAAACATTTCTGTGGGGCCCCTTTGATAGGTATGCCGAGGGCAATAATATCAGTGTCTGTTTAAACAGTTTTAAAGGAAAATAAACATGGATTGTGCTTCTGACAGAGAGCTGTTCTGTTAATTCTCCTTATTTCTTTATTATTTCCAGAGTGAAGGGAAGATATAAGGAGTTAATGGAAGTCAAAATGACAGTGTAACTACAAAATGCAATGCTTGAAAGCTGTTATGTGTAGAATTGTGGATTGATGTCAAAAACATTTAAACCTTAGTCCTGTGACACAAACATGTCAGCCTGTTCCTTCATTATCTATTTTCAGAGGAAATGTCCAGCTAGGACAGGATGTGCATTTATATCTATTTAGTATTATCTGCTGACGTCCAAGCTCTATGCCACGTCTTATCTGCAGTTTACAAGTGTGACCCCAGAAAGAGCAGCTGACTGGTGAAACCAGGGAGATCAGTTGAACGCTGCAAGTGATGGTAGCTGAGTTCTAGTTCTTATCTAAATATTTTCTTTGGTATAATTTTAAATATCTGGAGGAAGAAGCAAGTCCAGCAACTTACTGTCCCTCAGTTTCATGAACTGTAGATTCTGCAGGATCACGAGAAGCATGCCTAAAGAAATTAGGTGTAAAGTACTTAGCTATTTTTTTTTTCTTTCAATCCCATAATAGAGAATCATACATATAAATATAAAATGGGTTGTGTTGGAAGATCATATAAATTCAGCAAACTTTGTCAACATCCGTACTTGTCTGGAAAACCTCTTAAAGAAAACCTCTGTTAAAAAGTTGCCTGTATTTATTATTAAAATACATAGAGCTGGGCAATTTTTGCATGGGTATGCATTGTGCATCATGAGTAGAAATAACATACACAGACATTATTATTACAGATTTCATATGTTTAGTTAGTACCTCTTCAGACATGATCCAAATGTTTCACAGCCAAATCTTTAACCTCATTTGCAAAAGTATTTTTGTTTTGTGGGTTTTTTTGGTAAGCAACAGTGGTTACAGTGCATCAGGGCTTGAAATGTGGTGGCTTTTTTCCAGCTCTTTCATGATCCATGAAAATCTACAGAGTCTGGAAGGGGTTGAAGCTAAATTGTAAGGAAGAATTTTGACCTAGCCCACAACTGTACTTCCATGTATTATACATGCAGAATCATTAACAGATAATTTTATATTACTCGTCTTTCAGGTCAGGTAATCTTCCTACAAAAATGTAAACCTATGAATCATACTATTGCTGTGCAAAATTATGTTTGGCTGATAGGGGCATAAAATATTCACTATAAACTTTACTCCAGAACCTGGAGACAATCAGGGAGTCATTCCACACACAATTAAGATAAGGTTAAGAGCAACAAAAAGTTGGAAAGCTGGGCAACCTAGAATTCTTCCTGTTTTCTAGAAGAATATTTTCCTTTCAAGAACTTTTTTCTTGTTTTCCCATCAAGAACTTTTTTATTTCTGGCACAGCCTTCCACCCATCAAGTGCATCTTCTATCTGTGCGAGACAACGTGTGCTCTGTGTCACATTGACCAGACTGCGCTGATTGTTATGTGAGTGCTCACTTTGTGCACTCGCAGGTGGGGCAGCTACCAAAGCACACATGCTACTGGAGAACCACCCAGCTTCTGTCTGTTGTGTCACTTCAGTTCTTAAGGCCGTGATCCACATGATGTGGATCACACATGATCCATCCATACTGTACATCTCAAACAGTGCCTGAGCTGCTGACTGCATAATGATTTGCCTGAACAGTGGAGACTGAAGTCCTACCTTGGCTTCAGGACAACTGAAATTCCTTACTGTCCTTTAGTTTTGTACTTTGTAACTTACGTAGGCAGACAGCTGTGCTAAGGAATTAACAAAAGTTAACAACATTTACAAGCAACAAGCCTTTGCAAAAAGGGGAATAAAATTAAAGAGCATTTATTGTTAATTATTACTTCATGCAGTCATGGGATCACTTTTGCATTTTGTTTTCTGGTCTCTCTCTCTTCCTGAATGCCTGTCAGCTGAAGAGAATGTTCAGCAACTTTACTACCATGATTCTTAAATCATTACAATTTTTTTTTCACTTCGCAGTCATATTTTATTTCCTTTTTTTGAGCTCTTACAGGAAATCTGGCAAGGATTA